TTATACAGACACGTGTCTTATATTGTATATGTTTTATTAAAGTTCTCGAGATTGCAAAAACTTTTCTTCGGGAATCCCGAACTATTTAGAAATCGTTTCCACGAGAAACAGGAATGGAAATTTATTACAAATCACTATTCATTACTGATCGTCTCGGTAGCATGTTACGAAACGAACGAAAACGTAAAACGATAAGTAATATTGTTCGCCAATTGATTGTGGAACACGTGGCGTTCGATGTATTAAATTTAATACAGAACGAGCGAAAAGATTGAGAAACAAAAAATCTTTTATCTTCGACTTCGAACAAATCGAATAAAAGATTCTGACGTCCGTTCGTCGAGATATAATTATTGCGACGATCAGGGCACAATCAATATCGGTTGCTTTGCGACATTTCCGTTGGGCTGCGAAACCACGCGATTGTTTACGCGTTAGAATCGGTCAGGAAGTCCGTAACAAGCAGGCCATTCGTAAAGAAAATAGAAACTTACGCGAGAATAAAGAGCAGCAAATATTTGATTCACTTTGATCATTTTCACGCGACGGTAAATCAACGACCAATGAATGAATCATGTTTCTAAGTTAAACGACGAGTCTGAATAGGTGTTTCATTAAACATTTGTATCTCTAATTCTTTTTGTGGGATAATTGCACGCGGTTTTCCTTATAATAGTAATCTCTTTAAGGCAAGAAACTATGCGATACGCAGTAACGTGTATACAATAAACGTTTTGTTTTGGTCTGCGAGGTGACTATTGTCGTAAGTTCTCAAGGCTTTCCTTTGCAGTCGCGAGAGATTGTAGTAAACAACAGTTTTTCAATTCTGTATAACTTACAAAAATTCAGGATTTTTTTAAAAGATATTATGCATCTCGACACAGAAATGATATTGATGCAAAAGAAATATTAGAATATAACGATCAGTTCTTAAATATACTGGAGTCGTTATTTCTCACGCTTTTATCTTGGTCGATTATAATTTATTTACTCGGTAGTACATCTGTTTGTTGATTAATCATCGACGCTTCAAGGCATTAACGATTTAATAGACACCTGTATCGTGGATTAAACTTCCTAATTCCTCACATGGAGTAGCCAGAAACCTTGAAAATTACAAAGATATTCGAAGGAATTGTAGTGAAATACAGAAAAAGACTTACGTATAATCTATTTTTATCTAACCCAGTCAGCAAAATAGTACCCAGAAAGATTTTAAACAATTTTGATACGATCTTTAATCAACTACTTGAAAGCAACACAAAATTTTACCTTTGCTTATATTTTTAAAAAGAGTCCATTAAAATAGGCATTAAACGACAATGAGTAAGTTATTGCTTCATACAGTTCGTAGACTTTCCGTCAGTATTTTCCCCAAGCCTGTATGCGGGATGGCCTCTATTTTAATTCATAAACGCAATCCCACAAGGAAATTCCCACTGTACTTTTCTACGAACGAATCAACCGGAGATGAGATCTTTCGGAGATCTATTAGAAGTAGTAAACCCCCTGAAACAATCGCGTTATCTGAAATTTTCCCGCAAGAAAATGCATTACAAATGATTCCAACGTAGTTCTATTGTATCGCGAGTATACTAATTTAACCTCAATGCCATTCATCGTTTGTCTGATGAAATACTTACTAATATTTCATCATAATTATGAGATAAACACATCAGAATTTCTCGACGCGCGATCGATACATTTTTTGTTTCTACATTCTTTCGCACGTTATCCGTGTACTCATGCCCTCAGTATCATGCAAATTTTCGAGGACTATCGTTACACCGTCTGGGAAATCTTGTCCAGATATTGTGGTAATGAAGTGCAAATGATACAGCGTAATATTTTTAATGATTCATTTATCGACAGCTGGGATTTACCCATGCCTAATGATGCCGATGAGGGGCTTCCTAAACAAATCGTGTTGTGTACATGTTCAAGGATACATCTTTCCTCGCGATTATGCATGCGCAGGTCGAGAAAACCAGTTGCTAGAATTTCGTTTCATAGTGGTACAATTATTCTGACCCCAGTTGTAAACAACGGTCCGGAGTATACAATAACAAAGCTTTTCCTCGAGATTGATAGGATGTTCCAACTACACCTTATATTCAAATGGAAATTTATATACAAACATTTTTGCGACGCACGTATTCATTTTCATAAAGGACGAACCAGTCTATTTTCGGAAATTATTTTATCGATGTGACACGCGTGTAGAAGCACGTGTCGCGGAAAGGAACGGAAACACCGATTAAACATCGAGGAAAACACGTGAATATTGCGCGTCATTTTACGATCCTCTCGTACGCCGTCGATTCGGTCGTTAATTATCATTAGGGATGCGTCGCTTTAGGTTCAATTTAATTTGTGCGCATGTTACTACATACGGGCGTGTGAACTCATTAAATTTGAATGTAGAGGCGTGTATCTCGCGTCTCTTCGCGAAAGACGATGTCCAATTAGGACGATAATGGGCGAGGAAGCAATTAACGAGAAACGCAGTCGCGACGACGTAGGTTCGAGCAATCGACGAAACAGTTTTTCCCATTTAAGATCAATGAACATGAATTTCCATGACGCTTGAAAAAGATGATTAAGAACCACTGTTACAAATTATTACCGTAACTTTGAGTTATGTCTTATTTACTTATGATTTGCGCATTTAGAAAGCTCGTGGCGTCAATTCAAGATATTCCAACGCGTTGTCTGCAGCTGTTAATTATATCCACAACTCGCGGAACAATAAAGATCGCGATAGATCGAACGTAACTACGGGTTAATTCGACGAAGACAAGAATCTAACACGGTCATTCATCGTCGAATAAGCGTTATTTATGGATCGTTGCAACTCGTAACAACCTAACATTTTTTTTATCGCTTCGACGTGCATTACATAAAATAATTAATAGTAGACGCGACGGTGCGTGTCGTTTGAGTCGCTTTTACCTAGTCGCGGTTTGAATTCTCATCGCTATACATTCGATCGAAATTTCTCTCGTATGGCTTTCCTCGAAGATCCATGTAACAATCTTGCATGGAAAGTAACGTACACAGCAATTTCTCGTAACTCGTCGTTGAACTATGTTTGCGAGCTAACAACTCCTGGTCTCTTCTCCGCTTCCTCGATGATTAACGATCGGGTTGTTGGAAAAATCCAAACCCGAGTTCCATTTAGTTCAGTAATGGCTGATTTTTAATAGAAAGAACGAGGCAATACTAGCACTGAAATTACTTCCCAGTTGGTATAAATAAAACGTTATCGTATAAAATATTAATAAATCGTAAGAAAAATACTTTTATTCGATTCGTACCTAAACCATTCGGAAGATTGGTAACCCTAATTGTAATTTAATCCTCTGAAAACCTTATTGAAACACCGAGAAAATTCTTGCGTGCCACCGTAAGCACGGTAATGGGCAAAACTGTTTATCGTTCATTTGCGAAAAGTATTTCATGCACGGCGCTCGTTGCACTTTGCATCCAAGATTGGAGTTAATTGGATCTGTTAAGAGAGCCCCGAGATTGTATGATGCTCTCTGCACGAGAGACGTGGTTCCGCTATTATCTCAACGACCAGCGTTATTTTACGTAACTCTTTGTATGACGTTTTCCGCATCGAGAATTTCTATCCGCGAAAACTTCTACGTAATAATTGTATACGCGCGATGCCCATTACACCTATGTATGCAAACCGATTACACAACGATACGTCGTACCCGATCGTCTGGTTATATTCGTTCCTTTTTCTCTATCGCGATGTGACGTGTCAGCGTGTGTGACGGTCGAGAAGCAAAGTTCCCGATAATATGTGACGTGTGCAAGTTCTCTTCCGTTCTTGGTAACAGCGTCAGGAAATGGTGACTGTACGCTGTACATAAATGAAAGCTTTCTGTTCGTCCAGGTCTTTCGGTCTTCAATTACGTAATGGGCCATTACGGTTGATTGTCATTGCTATTTCCCGGTAAACATTTTACCGTGAAATCGAGTAATCTCGAGTAACGACACATTTTCGTGTTTCTCAAAGTTCAGCGACCTGGGCTGCATAAAAAACACGTATGTAACGTAATAATTAATAGTCCAACGATGTTTACCGAAACAGCAGACATCTAGAATTTTTGTTTATCAAAAATCGTTTTATTGTACTTTAGCTGTCGTTAAGAATGATATACTTATCGTCGGAACCGATGCAGACAATTTTAACTGCTTGTTATGTAGCTGTAATTTCGTCTGTTGCAACACTAGCACCGTAATGTAGTCTAGTTTTGATGGTAGTATTTTTAGTAACTATGACGTGCCCTGCGCTATTATTTATAACGAAACTACCTATGCATACCTAACTACACCCGGACAATTTCTCTAACATTTCATAATCGCTTTAGACAAATATATCCGTGCCAGATTTTTGATATTTTTTCGAATTTACTATCTATTAAAGATTTCACTTACACGAGACACGAAACCATTTACAAATGTCAAATTCGACTGAAAGATCACTAGACCCCATTAACCCTTTCGCAAAGCTTCGTAGTCGTCGACACTTGACCGTACATTTTTACATTTACAAATCAAATCTTATCAACTAATGACGACATGTGGACGTCACATCTACCCCTTTTCTAAACATCCCTTCAAAAATCCCTAAAATTCCGACCAGCTGTATCTTGTCCTTTGAGACTGAAAGTTGCATCGTATCTGGGGGGATGGAAAACTGAGCGTTGGTTACCACGATAGGGGTTGCAGTTGATTCGTTGCATCCCTCTTTGCCAGAATACAGGCGTCGCATAATTTGTACGCGCCTAACTCTCCCGTTGCATAATAGCCGGTAAAAGTTGGTTAGAAAGAACAATTAGAAAGTACTATGGAGGCGTTATGGCGCATAAACGCTTATGCGATCGGCTCGTCGGTGCCGTTGCATAAATTTCAGTACGCAGGTGCGACTTTCTCGCGCTCGATACGTCGGTCCCTGCCTTTGGAGTTGACCACCTCTTCGATTCTCCCTCTCTTCCTCTTCCACTGTATCTTTCTCGTCGACTAGAACCTTGTGCACACTTCGGGGTAACCGAGAACAGTGGCGAGCCGAGCTCACAGCACGTGTGGACCGTTTCCTTCCCTTCGATCGTGAGGTTTTCGCACATTTTTCGCCGTGTCCTTAAACGCTAATCCGTCGGTTTGTCGGTCGGTGACCGGTGCGCGTCTTTAATCTCGCAATTCTTTAACGCGCGATGTAATTTCGGCCGTTAACGTCCTCGCGTTGTGTGTGCCGGATTCGTTTCTTGTACAGTGGAAATGTTTACCCGGTCACGATTGAAACAGGACGGAGCGTTGATGTTCCGGGTCTAACAATAAGTTACTAGTGTCGCTGCATTTTACCATGAAAACAGCTTCATTCCACCTTGCACGTTTTCTTTTTACGTTTTTTAAATCGCACGTGGCTGGCACGCGTCTCGACTTCCGTCCTTAAAAGGTTTGCATACAACGTTCTCAATTTCTAGTCTTTTTTTTTTTTTTTTTTTTTTTTTTGAGCATTCAGTACGGGTAAATCTCAATTTTCATAATTTCGTTTTTGTAGTTCAGGGTACGCGTAATTATCACTGCGATGCGTGCCCTCTGATTGCAATTGCATCTGTGTTCCGCGTTCTAAAAAGCTTCGTTCACCGAGAAGCAAATAATTGTGGGGAAAACAGAAGACGAGAAAAGGCTTACGAGATGAACGGCGACGATCAGTTTGCGCGGGTGAGTTTCGCACTGTCCCATTCATCAAAATGAATAATTAATTTTCGAAAGTATAATTATAATTAAATGCTTCTTTCTTGCCCCAACAATGGTCCAGTTATTAAGTTCCATCGATAACAATCGCGAATAACGAGCGACGCGTTTGTCAAGCATCCTTGCTAACGAAATTTGCTCCCAGTTCCGTGAACAATGCATTGCGATACGAGTTTTTCGAAACGCTTGTACGATTGCATAATTTTGACGAAGCCGCGGGTCATTTGTGCAGAAAAGGAATCGTATAACCGAGCAGCGAACGATTTCTTAAAAATATTCGGATCGCGTGTTTAATCTATCGTGTTCTATGAAAGCAGGTCATAAAATATACAGAGTAATTCAATAGCTGTCGTGCAATTAGTATGGTCGATGAAACAGAAAAGGGAAACTTTTCTTGCGGCTTCTAGACGCTAAAGGTCTATTTTTATTTTCTTGATTTATCGTTACTTTTAATAAATTGCTTCGATAATTATCACTAACCACAGTTTATTTTCACCCGACGTTAATAAAACAATAAATATTTTTAACTTAAGGCGATCGACTGTAACATGACCGTTTCATTCGATCGCATTATAAATTCATTTGATATCGCTGTGTGGTTTCTGCGAGAGAAGCATTCTGAAAAGGAAAGTAGGAATTCATTCATTCATCAAGACACAGCGATTGCATCTAAACACGTGTATAGGGTGTTTCACGCGACTGGGTCCAACCATAACTTTTAAACGGTAAAAGAAAAAAAATTGCACAAAGCAAACTTATGTGTAGATATCGGACGGTGTGTGATTTTAATGTATGCGTCTACTTTAAAAGTGGATACGTTTCGTTGATTTAAAGATCTTTATTTTTTTTTGTAGAGCATGAAAAAGTGCCAAGGTATTTGAGTCGAGAAACGTGCTTAGTTCAAAAGATATTTTATGCATAAATTTAATACTAAGCACGCAAAGACGGAAACAAAAAAAGGTTCGAGTTTAACCGGTTGAATGTCACACCAGTTTCCCATACTAGTTCTCAATATTTTTTTTATCTTCTACTGTTTAAAAGCTATGGTTGGGCCCAGTTGCGTGAAACATCCTGTATATTTACAAAGGCATCTCTACGTGTTTCTCACGCATTGAAACATACAGTCGAAACATACTGGTCGAAAGTATTGGCGTAGCATGGTTTCTAGAATACAAATAACTACGAAAGAAATTGAAGTACGAAGTTTTTCCATATACTTGAGTGTACCTTAAAATAACAGTGGGGAATTTCACGATCAAACGACGATATACAGTACTTTGTGTTTAGAAAACATACTTTTACGATTATGTTTGGATCACTGTGTTGCACAATAAACTAGAATACATCGAAATAAAGGTTTACGAACCCTTTGGTCTAATTCTTCTTAATGTTACAAGTATTTGTATTCCGAAAGACCATGCTGTAAATGATTCTGTTCGTGTTACTTCGGATGCAACGACGGAGCACTATGCGCGTCCAGACTTCCGATTGGTAGATTGCGATCGATGACGCGTATTCTACAAATCGGTAGTCGGAACGTGCCTCTTTCGTTGAATTCGTGTCGAAATTTTTATTATTTACGTCTGAAAAAACGAATACCTGAGTCGCAAAATGCTACAGGGTTTCTCGATTTCTTTTGTCTCGATGAATATATTCTCTCTTGGAAAAGAAAGGAATATTCTTTGCTTCGTTGCATATCAATCGACATTCCTGAGCAGATAGCACAATAATACGGAATTTAAAAAGGCCATTCTGTATATAATCGTTGTCTTTATTATATTATAAGAAAAACTATGTATCGTTGCATTTTTAATAGCAGTAATCTTCGCGTTTGAAGAATTCCTTTCGCATTTTTCAGACAAATTTGTCTCCCCGGTTGCATAGTTTCGAAGATAGCGGACGGTAATTATTAAATTATACTTGTATCCGACTCGATACGCTTGCTGTCGTCGAATGTGCTCTCGAAATAGAACCTCTGATCCACGTTTTAACGCGCATTCGCATTCAAGCGACGTGCGACCTCAGCGTTCGTTGCCTGCGGAAAAATAAACTCTCTCGACTCCCCCCGCCCCTTTCTTGCTTTCTTTGGATTTATTTTTCGCCGTTTCCGAAGAGACCACGTATTCCGCTGCACAAGATGTGCATGTTTATTTACGTCGTGTCTCGCGATCAGGAAGAGCGCAATAGTTTATCATGATTCCATAGTCCTCGACAATCTTCGCGATCGTTGCTAATTATCATGCTAATAGGTTGGAGCGATCGTCTCGAGGTCATTGTACTTAAAAAATGGTGGCGAGTTAAACAGTATTCGCGTTCCAGGATGCTCAGTACACGAAGGGAAGTACGAACCTGTACTTTGTGCCAGGATACCGAAACAAAAAGGCGACCAAAAGTGTTTGTAACTTAGACAAGCTGTACGAAACCGTTAAGAAAACGCAGTTACTGAAAAGTGAGAAGTATTTTAACGTCGAAGCAAACGGAGTACAGGAAAAGTAAGTATGGAAATCGATGAGAAAATGTTTTGAGAAGAGTAAAAATTAACGAAGTATCATTATCGAGAAAGTATGAGCGTGGATTAGTATTGCGGCTCTGCTCTTGTGTGATTTTAGTGGCGAGTCGCGTTCCGTGCCGCGTATGAAGAATTTCTAAAACATCTTATTATTCGTGAGACGGCCACAGGATACGGATTATATTTTGGGCAGCAGCGAGGCAGAAATACCGTTTCATGCAAATGATTGTTTTCAAACCGCGCGTATACACGAGGGTCATTGAATAAGTGGACAAACGCTCTGGTTTGGATAGTATTAAAACGAGGATCCTTATACTTTCAAAATTATCAGCAAACATCTCAAAGGTTGATTTTATAGTCTGACCTCTAGCAAGCAAAAATTTACAAACATAATTGTAGAACATTAAAAGAGGAATACAAATTCGTCATAAATTTTATTCATTTAAACATAATTTGACTTGCAACGGAATAAAATGAAACGTCTGGCGTGTCGTACATTATATTTTATAAATATCAAACTCTTGCAAAGACAAGTTTCGTACAAACAAGCAATTATATCGTCAACTCTTACTGCCGTGGCTCTATATTTGAACATCGTGATATGTTTACCGACCAGGTGGCTCAATTTCAACCTGAACAAGTTTGGAAAACTCGAGCAACGACAAAAGCATTATTTCTTCGAGATATTTGCCGGTAATAATAACAGCGGACGTCGATTACTTTCTAAATTGCTGTTGTGCTAAGACTCGCCACGTCGTACGATTGTAGACATTATCGACATGATTCACAATTATTCTGTAATACCAACGTAATTTTGCTGGGTCGAGAATCGTCCGGGCAAGGTGTAATGGACCGAGAAGCAATTACAACCGACGTAATTTTCTGGGATTCGAAATGTCGCGCCGTTGTTGCAATCGTTGCACGTTTGAATGTTTTTTTTTTCTCGTCGCGCGTGAAAGTTACACTTTCCTGTATAGAGATACGGAATAATGTCACCGAGTTGCAAACGGGTTGATAAAAATATCAAATCCCGATAGCCCACAGTGGAAACGAAAATGTTCTCGACGGTACAGCACGTTAGAAATAATATCGTAACGATTGGGTCCATTGGGACGAGGAATGAAAAATGTATTTTGTAAGATACTTTCGTAAGAATGAGAGGTGGTCGTAAACATCCCGTGGGCGGAATTATCCAACCACGCCAGATATAATAGAAATCATAAAATTGTCTTCTCGTAAGAGTTCGTTTCGTAAAGTGCAAATTTTCGGGCGATTAGTGTTGAACGTTCCAATCGTGATATTCTGCGATGTTTTCATTTAGTAGAACCGTGTGTGGGCTTGTTATTCGTATATACATATACGCGAATGCAAAATGTGCCCAAGGATAAACGGAGAGAAAAAAATAAATCGAGATCGCAATCTGACGAGGAGAAAAGGTCCAGCTTTTTTCATTGAAATTATAACCATGAAACGTCGGTCGTGTCTCAAGCGTTTTTCGAATTTTAACGAGTGCAAGGGCATACGCAACGGCGAAAAATCGTCCAAATTCCAACAAGAGCATATTTATAGTCTGGAACGTGTATTTTTATTTTACTGATTTCTAATACCGAATATTTCGAAAGGAAAGATTTAAGAATTCCTCTGGGAAACGAAGTATACGAATGGAACATGAACAGTTTACAAGTTGGTCAATCGTACTCGGATATTTAATTTTACTTCTTACAAGACATTACAAATGGATTTAATGTTCGGTGTTTGGCAATTAATTTATATTTGCCATTAACGGTTTTTGATAGCGCATTCTACGATGAAAATAAAATTTGTATAACGAAATGCCAGCGATCTATTTATTTGGAAATTTCACGTTCCATAAATCTTCTAATAGTACTCTTTATAATCTGATACTTAAGAGTTTAACGTCTTTTTTTTTATATTGTTTATAGTTATTACTACGCTTACCAAATAATATATTTCTAACCTCTTTTCCTGCGCGCACCGTTTATTTTACATCGTAAAGGGAACGGTCGTAAAATCTAAAAGCAAGAAGTCATAAAATCCAGTTGTAATGTTGACGTTGGTACCGATATCGTGATTAACGATGAAGTGTACCGGCATATGCCCTATTTTCACGTAGAAAACACAAAACGTGCATAGTGGACTTTCAGTCGAAGATGGCTGTTAGTAAAATGGCAGGAAGTAAATATCCATCAAACCGGGCAACGTGTAAAATAATAAAAGAAAGAGTAGAACTCGTATCGAGGACTGAACGAGGGTGTCCCTGAGATAAGGAACAGCTTGTCAGTTCCTTTTCGACGAGATATTTCGATGGCCAATGGCGATAGGTTCCTTCATTTAGTACAATAGTCGTCATCCTTGAAGAGTACAGGAACTACCGTGCGAATCCTACAATTTTTTTGCGAGCTACTCCTTGAAAAGAACGTAACAAACTGATTAAAAAGGAAGGTACTTCTTTCAAACGAATATCCTTCCATTTTGTATCTATTTAAAACTTCTTTTCGCCTCCGTAAGTCTGCTCTTGTATTAAAAAATTACGACATTTATACGTAGTTCGAGCAAAGTATCATTTGATGTTTATTATTAGGGGCAAGAGATCAGTCGGCAGACAACTTATGTTTTTAAGAAAATAATTGTTTCGATCTAACGACACTACAACGGTACATGGATTTTGTTATTTTTCACGGTAAAGACTCGGTGCTCCAATTGTTTTTTGTTTTCTTCCAAAGTCGTAACTTAATCGCGTTAACAAGCATCGCCGGCAGGAAGACCAATTACATTGTTCACCGTTAACAGAAAGAAAACGCGTTCGATCTTTTACGAGGGAAACGACCGTGTTTCGTTCCCGTTACCTACATTCTCTCGCCACGCGGAGATTCAAAAAGTAAGCGGGCTGGCCCACGGAAAAGAAAATCGGTCAGCCGGGTAACGGAATGTGCTGTCCGTTTCAACGAGCATTACGTGCGCGCGAGACGTCCTAAATGGAGAAGGATGGAATGGAAGGAACGGTCGGTAGGAGGCTGAGCGAGGCGTGGACCCGAGAAAAATGCCAACGGAAGAGGGGATCGACGAAGAAAGAAGGGGACAAGGTGATAAACGACGAAAAATATGGAAGAAAAGCGAGGCCTCTTGGGCCTCCTTCCTCCTCTTCTTCCCCAACGCCAACCGTGGGGCACAACGACGTTTTGTCCATTCACCGTTCTTGGTCGCGGGCCCAATGTCACCCACCGATTTATTCGTTTAACGGGACCCACACGTCCGATGGTGGAGGAGACACCGATCATTTCACCGGGAACCAATCGGTTAGGGGTTTCGTGCCTCGGTCAGTCGAAGACCACGCCGTTGCCCGTGAGGATTGATTTTTCGAATCGAACCGTCGCCCAATTCGTCGCGCCGTTCTTTTTTTTTTTTTATCTCGAAGTTTCACACCGATCGGTATCGTCTCGCCGCGAACCTCGAGGCGCAGGAAACCGAGATCCGGTGATTCGTTTCCACCGGTGCACTTCTGAGTCCATCTGGAATTTACTCGAAGGACGTGTGTCGCAAGAATCCTCTGCTAACGTGTACCTGGTTAGAATCGCTCAACCCACCACGTGGTCTAACACCGACTTTGCTCGGCGTCCGTGTACACACGTTGCACGAGACTTTTTCTTCGCGAACGATACTCGTTTCGTCAAGTGTTTACATTTTTCTTTTCCCTCCGCGGTACATACGCGTGATTGAAATCGCGATCGTGCACCGTGTCGACTATAATGGTAACAAACGTCAGCCGATACGCGAACTATCCTGCGACAATTGTACCCTTGTATCGATAGATCTCAGCGAAATTAGCTTCGTAGAAGGATTAACGAGAAGTCGTTGTCTGATCGAACGAGACCGAGAATAAAAATGCAGAAAGACGAACGGGAGTAGGAGATTAACCTCGATCAGGATTTCACAAAAAGACGATACGCGAACGAGCAGAGATCGAGTGGGAGGGAGGGGGGAAGAACGAGCCGAACAAAAGCGTTCGAGTACGTAAAAGAAGAACAGCGGTTTTGGGAAGAGGCGAGTCTCGTCGAGCGCCGCGCGACTACGTAAGAGAGAACCGACGTATTTTACATACTTATTATTCCCCGAAAGAAGGATCCGACGGTGACGAGTGCCTTTCGCGGGAATTCGTTTATGTACAGTCGTGTCCGTGTCCAGTTAGCGAAGCATCGGGGCAGTGCAAGTGCCGTTATCGTTTTTTTTTTCAGACACTTATAAAGTGCACCCTTGTCCATTTTACGAGTGCAGCCATCGAAACCGGTTCAACACGGGTACTGCACTGTCGAACGTAAGTCAACCCGTACGAACGCGAATACTAAAATTTCGTCGCGAACTTCACATTCGACGTTTCGATGGAAAATAAATTTAAATAAAGGAACGATTAACTTGCAGAAGTTACAGTTCCCATGACATTTGAGTAAGTCGAATGCAGAAACGATCGGTTCTACTTCAAAACAAACTTTCCAAACGACTATACAACACGAGTAACGTGTATTATAGCTAATACTTCGTGCGATAACGCGGAGATATTCTCGAGCTCGTTGAACTCTTTCAAGCAATCTGCCTCTTCGATTGCACGCGCACTCTTCGATCAATCTACATCCAACAATAATATTAATAATTAGAATTTCTGAAGCTGTTCGAATCTAAGTTGTATTCCCTGATATTTCGTGCAGCATGAAACGATCGTTTGCGAAAGATTCGAATGCCGGATCGACTGGGATGAACAACGATCTGGTTTGTTTACCAGCCATATTTTTTCGTACTACTCGAAGCGCGACTTGGAAGATTTCTACCACTCGTGCAGCTTGAATAATGTCACTGGGTCGCGACGGTAGGAAGCGATGCTCAGCTAATATTTAAGATTTCTCTCGATCTTCGTAGGATACAATTAAAAACTGATTTATAGCCTGCAATGGCCGGTATTGGTAAATGCAGTTTCATCAGCATCGAAACGTTTGATATTACGTAGAGTAATAACCTTTTATAGATAATTAAATACGAGACGATTAAACGTAAGCTGCGATAACTGGTTGTTTACAAATGGTGCTATTAAAAGATAACAAAGAGTACCTACACGACGTTTCGATTATTGCAAACGATCGACGCTATCTACGTTGAAAGTATAAAAACGCATTTATCGTAACTTTGTAGAACCGCGAGAAACTGATTGTTAATGAAACTTCGAATAAGTCGAACCCAGAAAAAAGTGACTAAAAGATTTTTTAATTTCGTTGATTGCAGGTGTTTCTGGAGAGTCGAGGAAAAGATGAGGTAGAACATTTAGTCGGCATCAAAACTCACGGCGCCACACCGTTAGTCATGGCCTGTCGAAACGGACACTACGATGTAGCTGAATACCTCATCGAACAATGTGGGGCAGACATCGAGCAACCTGGGTCAGGTAAATTATCCAGCCTATCTGTCAACACGTTCACTACCACGAGTCACGTATTCGCAACGCGTAAATTGTGATGGCGAATCAACGTCGTCACATATGTGTGACAGCGATGATTCAGATCTATTTTATATCCGTAAACACTTTCGACCCTCGTCACTATTCAAAATGTTCAGTCGATCCACAGTGTGTCGCGTAAATAGGAATTCAGAACAAAAATCATAGCTTTTAAACCAGTCAATTTTCGATCTAAGACATTGATTTTTTGTTGCATAAAAACTGTTTTGCTAATTTCTACTATTGCAATTTCTTGTCAAGTGATTGCTGTGTAACTTTTGTTCGAAAAGTTTTTTGATTGGCTTAGAGGAAGTGGCTGAAATATCGGGAAGAAAATCATAACTTTGCATCTGTCTAATGTTTTCCCTTTATTCCTTTTTAATTAAAATATAAAATAGATACAGATACAATTTCTTATCTTGTAAATAAGTAAAAGAACATTTTTTATTAGATTAATTACGATTCTGATTTGAAGCAGGTATAAGTAATTGCGATAACGATTTAGATCATTTTCTCTGTTTCGGGCAAATTTGGGCAGCTAAAATTGGCGTTGAATTAAAGTTTAATGTGCCTTAAATTAATATACAAAAAATCATCGAGGTATTTTTTGGTATTTTTTTTTAAACTCAATTCAAAGTTGATGATCATTTAACATGAAAAATTGGGACCAATTGTTAATATTGTAAAAAGATTGTTTAGTAGTTTGGAACAAACACAACTTGCAAAAATCAAATTAAAAACACAAATTTTCGGTAAATGGCACATGTTTAAGAAAATGCACCGAAAATTGCAATAAATTTCTGGCATCATTTTCCACAACAAATTGGTAAATGCAGTAAAAGTTATGGATAGTGTTAAAATCTACGTTCCTTTATTAACATTTTAGGATATAAGAATTTATAAAACATCAACTTTAGTATTTTGACTTTTGTCCATTGCTGGACACACTGTACGGCCTATCAATTATATTTTATCAATTTAGTTCGGTCCGTCGACGTCGTCGAAATTGCAACAGCAGCGAATGGCGAAATTGAAAATTTTCACCAATGTATTATGGAAATTCAGTAGTCCTTGAAGATCAAATGATTAATATTCTCATTATTGCGTTTCTTTTTGCATTCGAAACGATGCCAGCAACCCGAAAGCGTGCAATAAATGCCATAGAAAGAAGGCAGTGTTCATTATAAACACAGATTAGAAATCCGATAATTCTCGTAATCTCGTATGTTAACATATAAGGGAAGTCCATTCGAGTAGAAATGTAGCACTAAGAGCTATTTTCCTCACAGACATCAGACAAACGGTGTATTGTTTTGTTTTAGAGTATAATTAGTGTTTCGTTAGCAGAGTTTGTATCGTCTACGATACCGAAATCCCAGTGTATATTTCTTGTTAGGACGAAGTCCTTAAACGAATTTATTCGAGAAATAAATTTCCAAGAAAAGTGCTTCGAATTCCTTTTTTAGAAGAACCTTAAAAAAAAAAGTGCGATGTCGTAATTCACTTATGCTAAACTGCGAAAAGTTATCCTCTAGCTGCTTTAATATTCTCATTGCGAAATGACTGACTTCCACCGTCGTGTTGTCGACGTATTACAGATGATTTAAATATAGGATCTCACACTTGTGCGACTCATCGGTGTGTGCAATATCTGAAATGGTCCGAAGACAATTCTACGGAATTAGGAGATTGTCGAAAATTGGTGAAGCCAAGTTTGGAGTTTAAAGTTTCGGTCGTGCTTAGTTATTTATGACTTCCTGGCTATCCTTTCTACGTTCTGTCCCAAGGGGTGTGTTCGGGTCTGGTTAGTTTCTAGGTAGGTTTCAAAGTAGTTGCCTCTTCAATGATCTGACTTTCTCTGTTTCTATCTTTTTTCTTGTGACCCTTTTCTGACTATACGAATCATTCGATATCTTTACCGAAGGCTATTTGTTTTGATATTTATAAATGTTTGATTTCTAATATCGTGTTTATTTTGTCCAACAGTTGTGGTCGATGGCGAAACGATAGAAGGTGCTCCACCCCTATGGTGCGCTGCGGCTGCTGGCCATGCAGCATTGGTCAGATTGCTGGTGAAAAAAGGTGCCAACGTGAACTCGACCACCAAAACGAACTCCACACCCTTGCGTGCAGCTTGCTTCGACGGCCATTTAAATATTGTCAGATATTTGGTATACCACGGGGCTGGTATGTATCTGTTTGAATCAAGGAAAATATAAAGTGTTCTAACAAGGGGAGGTCACGACCTGTAAACCTGAGATTTGAACCAAATTTGGCAGAGTTGTAGGGTAACTCTGTAACTCTGCCAAATTCGGTTCAAATCCCAGGTTGGCAGGACGTGACCTCCCCTTGTAAGTAACGACACTCTACTGATCAACGACTTGTTCGATTGCAGACATTGAGATGGCGAATCGTCACGGGCACACGAGTCTAATGATCGCCTGTTTCAAAGGTCACATTAGAATCGCCATGTTCCTACTTCGACAGAGAGCAGACGTTAATCGACAATCCGCGAGAGGTAATACGGCGTTGCACGATTGCGCCGAAAGTGGATCGTTGGAAATCGTGAAGGTACTCATCCAGCATCATGCTCGGATGTACGTGGACTCCTACGGGATGACACCTCTCCTTGCGGCAGCAGTAACAGGTTAAAGCAGAATGTTCCACGCACAACCCTGAAGGTTCCCTTAAGACGATTACAATTAATGCTTATCCAAGTGTTTCGTTATCTGGACAAAGGAAACGCACTCGCCGGAAAAAGTATCGTCAACGAATTGTTTTTCTTCCAGGTCATAAGCACATCGTGGAATACTTTATCAGTATACAGCATTTCATCAGCCGGGAGGAATGCATAGACGCGTTGGAACTTTTGGGCGCCACTTACGTGGATAAAAAGAGAGATACGATCGGTGCGCTCGAACTTTGGAAACGTGCGATGGACGAACGGTACGTTAGCGTTTTTAGAAACGAACACAGTCGAATATAAGTATATCCATTGTCAGAAAGACCGCGGAACTGACCCAATTTATGCATACCCTTCTCATTATTGCACATTATCGCAATACAAAACAGATAAAATTTAAAAAATTAGTACGTGGGAACCAGTCCCACGGCCCCGGGATATGCAAAGAAGCACAGCATTGTGCACTGTCTATAAAGTATCGTCAATGTTCTGCCGTCAGACAGGAAATAAAGTAACTTCGGTGTATTAAAAAATATCACCCTCCAAAGTCCTGTATATGAACTGTCTACTGTAAATCTTTTATTTACTGGTTTGTCGTTTACGCGTTAAAAACAATAACAATTGATATTGGCTTTCAGATATCGACCCGATCGTCCGGTGGTATTAAAATCATCGCAATCATCCGCTATAGCTGCTTACAATTACACGCGAGAGATCTCCGACCCCGACGCGTTGGACGACTTGGTAACCGACCCGGACGAAGTGCGAATGCAAGCGCTCGTAATTAGGGAACGAATATTAGGCCCTGCTCATCCCGACACTAGTTACTACATTCGGTACAGAGGTGCTGTTTACGCGGATAGCGGAGAGTTTAATCGTTGCATCGAACTGTGGAATTATGCCTTAGACATACAACAGAGTATGTTGGAGCCGCTCGATCCGATGACTCAGAGTTCACTCACCAGTTTTACCCAGCTTTTTAGCTTAATGCTGTGGAGAGAGACGACAAGCACGGGGCGTAGAGTACCTCCAGTTCAAACGGAAGAACTTATTAGAGTGTTTAAGAAAGCTGTAAGTCCTGGAGCGTGAATTGTACGAGAAATGTTCGGTGGTTGCTTCGACCGATGGGCGTGCGTAAAGTGGATTTGTCGTTTCAGGTTTTAGAAGTGAAATTAGGAAAACAAATATTGGACAAAGCGCCGACCAGCGACCGTGAAATATATTTTAACAGGGTTCTCGTGATCACGTTACATCTGGCGTGTTTATTAACGCGCGAAATACCGGAAGAGGGCACCGAGAAATATATCGCGCTACACAAAGCGATTTATGAATTAGTTCAAATAAATGCCAAAGGCAAAAATGTGAGTTACTCGTATATATTATCAACGAGCAGTATTTTAAGCGTGTTAATACGTCGTACGCGCGCAAAAATAAGTTGACAGAATATTAATCGCCTTTCCGTGTTTTATTTTCAGGGTCGTGATGTATTGCAATTAATTCATAGTGGGGATACCTCGATAGGCCACTCTTCCAAGTTCCCTTCTCCACATTTGGCATCGGCTCTTATAAAAGTTAGCGCCGATGTCACGGCAAGGGACAATGACGGAAATACAGCGCTACACCTGACCGCTCTATCGCGTTTTTGGCGGCCAGATCTTGCCATCGCCCTCCTCGAGGCCGGTGCTCATATCGATACCGTGAATAACGAAGGTAAAACTTTCGAAACGTTGTTATACGATAAACGCCTTTACGATTTGGTAAATCCCGTAAAATACACTACGCTCGCCTGCTTGGCAGCCAGAGTGGTCAGAAGAACATATAGAATAGAAAATCTTCCAAAACATCTTCAAGCCTTTGTTCAAATGCATTAATGATATTGATTCTTGGTTACGGAGGTGATATGCTATCGTTTAAGATGCCACGAAAGAATTGAATTTGTTAACTAAAACATGGAAGTGTCGACGGTAAAGTTCTGAGTCTTTTTGAAGAAGTAAACGACAACTAGAATATATTTCTGAATGGGAAAGTATGAAACCTACCCTAAGAGAATTGCCATTATTATTCATGTGATAATACGATAAAAACAGTGCACTTAACATAGAATATGCTCTTGGACATTAACTGATCGTATAAGACTACGAAATTTTTCTTTAAACTGAAAAATTACGATTGTGATTCAATATGAGGAATGTCTCTGATATTAATGTTGAACAATATACGACATTCGGTCCTCGAAATAAGAAACCTATGGGAGTATTTACTGGCATCGATTACAATGGCTTAGAAATATTGATCAATGTGATTTTATTATTGTATACTTGGCACATAGCCATTCCCTTATACATAAACCCCATACAAGCCATAATACACACAATGCGTTTATAATATTTAATTTTAACATGAATGTATGTTAAATTGAAAAGATATGTAATCATAGAAAAAATTATTTTATTTTTAACGCTGTATGAAGAAATAAAATCAGCGATAAGATTGTGTAATACACATTTTTTTGCTACAGCATGAATAAGTGATTTGAATAAAAATAAGTGAATGCTTTTGCGTGAGAAAGCAAAGAAAATGTGAATAATTAAACATTTCGTTAATGCCACAAAGTTTTCAATTATTATATAAGCATATGTGTTTTATTTTTAATAGATTCGCCAAGATGTCATTGAAGTTGTTTTACTTAAAATGGTTTATTACATGATAGATTCGGAGTTATATGCATATTGGTTCATAATATATAACTTATGAACGATTCATTTACATCGATCCTTAAGTTTAATTTTATTTAAAATGTGATAAATATACATATAGATTATACGTATTATACAGAATTATTATTATATATAGCCATAAGAATGATGATACACGAGGTGTTCAAGTAAGGTGCTTTTTTTGAGAACAGTTAAATACTTGCACTTGAAACTAATTATTACGACTGTAAAAGTTTAAATAGAGCGGGTAGAGTTCATAGTTTCATTAATAATTATTGACGCAACATAATAATTTTGTACTATTTGAACACGTTTTTGTTGCAGCAAGTGTATTCTACACACTGCTGTAGTTTTACACAAAAACTATGATTCTCTGCAAAAAAAGTATCTTACGTTCAAATTCACCCAATTTAACTGTTTTATAATGTAAAGACTCTGGAAATACAGGTGTGATTAATAATATAAGGTAATGTTTATTTATTTTTATTTGGTAATATAAGATCCTCGTTCCGCAAAACATAGAACTCAATTACTTTATGATTTGGCAAGATATTCTTTCTAAAAAACAACAGTTGTGCAAAAATTTTTGAAATTTTTGAATCTTATTTTATTGTAATATGTTAGTCCCTGTTAAAAACTTATTAACACATTGAGCCGCGGCACCAACAGCATGTAAAAATTTTTTATATTTTGTAATGTTACCATTGAACTCAATATACAATTTAAATGCATTAAACATTGCACAATTTAAAAGAAGCAATACTGTCTCACATTATCGCGGGGCCGGCGCTCAATGTGTTAATATATCCAAACTTTGTGCATTACTATACATGCCATACATATACATATACTGAAAACTTCATTTTTAAACATGGCTTACAATTCTTTTCTTTGGGCAATGAGAACTTTGATAAAAAGTTCAACTATAGTCCAAATAGACGGTTTAATTAATTAAAGTAGTTGCAATCCGATCAGTTAATTTCTATCTCCTAAAACTGCATCCATAAAATAGCTCCAAGCCCTACTTCAATTCCCCTATAACCTAATCTATAAATACTATTTATTTCTGTTCCTGCATGAATATAAATATGTAAAGTGTTTTGTCTCGTTCATTTGATAAATTAAACTGAATGGTGGCATGTCTGATACAAAAAATGCTGTTAAAAATAACGTTAAAACGTTACTAAAAAGTTAAATTAAAAAATTTCAAATCGTTCTGAAAAAATTATTTTCGGTTACGGGGGGTCAATTACAATCATTTTTGGTGATTACACATACCACCGAATTCCTACCCACTTTCTAGAAAAAAATTCGGATAGGAGATGAAATTTTTTGGCGAAAAAGAAATTTTGCAAATGATTCTAAAAAAATTATTTTCTGTTGCAGGGCTCGATTACAATCATTTTTGGCTACTACACATACCCCCGAAATCCTAAGCATTTTCAAGAAAAAAATTCGAGAAGATGTCTAAACTTTTCGACGAAATTTTTCTTTACCGAAAAGATACTGCGTGGCTGGAAATGTTTCTATAATTTTTGGAGCCTCAATCAACAAATTAGCATCCTTGATTTCCGTCTTATTTTGGCCTTTAGAATCTCCCATTAAAATTTTTTCCTGGGGTGGTCGAACACCCTGTATACGATATCGATTTACATACAATTCTATCGATCGTATTTTTAATAATTTTCATACCTCGTCTGTGATGTTAGGTTCGTTCCAGACCTTCTCTGTGGTTGTAACATCTACTTTTCATGATAGTCACTCCCTCCCCCATAGGCGGTACGATTCATTCGACTATACCGTATATTCGAAACAATGCGATGCTACGTTTGTAGGTTGCGACATAATTCATCCCGTATCCGTAACATATACAAAGCCATCTCTGCATTACCACTGAGGTTTTGTTCGCGTCTGTAATTTATTTCTGTTATTACAGAACGCCGTAAACCCTCTGCTAAATTTTGAGTTCTGCAGACAATATTGTCATTCATTCTATATTGTTCGTATTAAATGTTTACTACGTAGTAGCTGTCACCCCGATTTTGCTCTCGTTGAAATTGTTTCTGCTGGCAGTTTCTTTCTTTCACATTTTAATTAGTCTGCTGAGTTGATTTCGTTGTAAATTCATTCAAGTAAAACAGCCAAACTCGTGATATCTGTAATTTTCTGGACCTTTCAGCTCGAATTTCATGAAATATCAAGATGTAAGTACGCTGTCCTTGACACGATTGTCAAATGTCTGCCATAATATTCTAATAGAACAGATAGTGGAATAGGCACCATAATAGAGGAAAGCGACAATACGAGCTGTTGTTTAGGACTATAAACCTTCGTACTGCAGGAAACTGTTTCGGGTCGAGGGGAGACACCGTTGATGCCTCGTATCAACAGAATATTGTATCTGATTCACATAGATACATACGGTTTCGCGTGTAATATACCTGCACACGGAACGATGCAGTCTGTATGCTTCATCCTAGAATTACTCCCTGATATCCGATTCCAACGTCGTTTTCTACTATTTGCGTTGCGTCGACCGGTTCTATTAATACTTCATCCCTCTGCCCCAGGGGGATCAAGTATAATCTCGAGTGAAGCCGATTTATTGGTTATACGTAATTAGGTGGCAGCAATAAGTAATGAATGATAACTCCCGCTAGACTACGAGAACTGTACTAAACAGGGCGACTTTAGAAACTGGGTTAGCACTTTTCTAAGCGAACGTATAAAAATCTCATAAAGGGAAATGTTTTAACGACGTAACATTTTTCTTCGGTGCAATATGTGTTTTGAACTTGCTTTTTAAATTTCTTGTTATCAGTCTGCACATAAAAGCGTCGATGGTCTTCCAAAACACAGTGATTTAAATTTACTTGAAGCTACGGGCAAGCAGTCGCCTAGTTTGAGAATCCCTGACACAAAGGGTTGAGGCAGGAGATACAGAAAGGCCGAGGGAAATGAACGAAAGAAGACACATGGGAGGAGAAGGGTGGAAAACAGTAACGGAACAGGAACAAGGAAAAACTGCGACACAGTTGGCGGGTGGTAGGGTGTTGCACACGAAAGTATGAAGGAGGGGACGAACGTTATTAACACTATGCATCATATACCCGAGTCAGTCGGGGGCCGTAGCAAAGCTTTTTATTGCCCCGAAGATAAATCACGATGAAATTCTGCAACTTGACGACTCTCTGTTACACGCTTTATTCTGATTAAACTTCGGTACGTCTCAGCGGTAGGATGTCTCGGTTTTAAGGTGTTCCGACTATCTGCGTTCGTCAGTTTTTATCGGTGTTCTTCGAACCATTAACAGTTGGATGGCTAAACGTTGAAGTTAGGTTACATTTAAATCACACTTAAGGGGGGAGTCTCATGTGAGACCTCAAAAATATCAATTTTTTTTTTGCTTCATTTTTTGAAAGTATATATATTTAAAAATGTACTGTTAAATTTTGAAAGATAAATGTCAAGTATTGTGGATTTATCTATGTGTATTTATATATGTGGTTTTGTCATCTAGGTGACAATATTCTGGAAGGAATTCTAAAGTTTTCTCTCAAAACGTTACTTTCTTAACTGGCGTAGATAAAATCACAGAAACTGTACGATCGATCGCTTTTAAATTTTTACACGTTGTTTCACATACTAACAGTTCTTGCCTGTACCAAAATCAAATTGTTAGAACGAGTTTATCATATCGTTTTTATTAAAAAGTTGCAAAAGAAACGACGAACCTGTCAACCTATCGAATAAAAATTTTTTTGATTTTTTTGATTTAGTCAACCTTGAGAGCTGCAATTACCTACGCCAGTGTTTAAACACATGTTTACCGCGGACGTGATAACAATATTAAAAGTTAATAAAAATTAATACAAAAATTATCTTGTATTCCCAAAGTATAGCTAAGTAAACTGCAGAAAAGAATCATAACGCCGGATGTAACATTTCCTTAAAAAAAATTAAGAAGAATGGTTCAATTTTCTATCATTCACATGAGACTCCTCCCTTGTAAATGCTTGTACCTAACCATCGGTTCGCGAATATGTTCAGGAATAGTCTCGCTGTACGAAGGAAACGTGACAGAGCACGAACCACATATCATGCAATAATTCTTGAAGCTTGTTCCGTAAAATGTCAAGATAAACAGTCCCATTTAGTCCAGTTGGGAGAAGGATTGGTCCTAAAACTGTCTCCAAAAATTTCTTTCCACGCATTAACGGTCGAGGCACGTAGCAGACAGTTCTAAACATTTTCTTATTCCACCCGTAACTCGAGAAGCAACGTTAGAATTGACCCATCTCTCCCCGCACTCTGTTAAGTTCAGAAACCATCTCGTTTGACATTCGTAAAAGCACATTTCTTGACATAAAATTAAAAGATATCGAATATAATGAATTGATACTTATTGAACTGTTAATAGTGAATTCAGATAGTCTTTCATTTAGATCTTTGGAAGACAAAGAAGTCCACTTGCCCGGATAAAGTATTATCGTTACGAACGAAACTCTTTAGAGGATATTGGAATATTGGATCAATATCTTTTTATCGAATTTCCAAGCGTTCCTGGTGATAAGTTACCTCCGACGTACACGTTTTAAATCTTCTTCCCGCCTTTTAACCGTTTTGTATCGCAATGAATAGGACAGTGTTGTTTTTATGCATGGTATAGCGAGTCCCTTAGTGTCTATAGGCATCCCAGCGGCCGTAAACATAAATCGGTTCCCGTGGAATCGATTGACCCGGCAGCGTACAATACCATTCCTCCCGATTCAGCGGCGTAACGCGTTAGCGCCTGCTAGTCTCCATTTGTATGTACGTCTACCAAATTTCATTTCCAATTCCAATGGCCGCCAATCTCCAAATTGATCGAGGTAAGGTGAACGGGACATCGGGAATCACTGTTTGGCTCGAACCCGGGGGAGCTGTCGCGCGTTTTGGAATTCAAAACAGAAATCTCATACGCGCAGAGTCAGAAGCTATCTGGACCGTGCGTGGGCTCGCCTCGAATTTAAATTTTTCCCACCTCCCGGGATAACGGTGCACGAAAAATCGAAAAACCTAACCAAAACACCGAACAATCGACTCGAGCATTTTTCAAGATTTTCGTTAGAAGAGTCAGTCCGAATCAGTTTCTCGGACGGTAGCGCGGAATCGTAGAGCAAACGTTTTGAAAAACAATCGGGAACAAGGGAGGGCACAAGTTTGAGTTGGCTGGAAGTACGGTTGACAGGAATCGTCCGTGATATCGCGTCCGTTTGCGGCCAAGCTAGAACAGATAAGGATGCTACGATCTTCCGCCAGGTTCTCGACGAGGTAAATGTAAATTTGGGTAAGTCAGTTTGGAAGTTGGTATACCGGGTGTATGCGGGGTACGGCAGCTTACATAACCGCAGTGCTGCATAGAACAAAATGGCTTAG